CATTTGGTCATCGGATCTTTGATGACCGAATGAATTCGCGACGATTCGTGTCGATCTAGAAATGTGAGAAATTCACGAGAAATGTGGGCCATGGTGGGTGAATACGAACGTATAGAAGTTTGGTCGAGATCTATGGATTCAAAGATCCGCGTAGATTCAAGATACGTACATACATTTATTATGTGTACACGTATATAATCGATTGATTGCGTTAAACTGGGATGTACATGCTATGCCGCGAGCCTGCTCATCGGCCGAAATACTGCACGGTGTTCCGAAACATTACAAGACATCGCCATCTGCTACTATTTTTTGCAAATTCGTCCTCACGATTTCGAGCATACCGATTTCAGTTTTTTTTTTATCAATATACGCCTCTATTGTCTAATAGAGCTCTATTCCTGGAGATGCGTTTATTCGGGTGATCGTACATATGTTTCTCAGTGAAGTACATATAAAATTCGATATAACGTAGCTTTTACGATTATTAAAAAAATACCAACGAAATTGTTGTGAAATTGACAACAATCACCGATTACACTACATTTCATCAATTACAATATGGTAATTTTGTTCGATAACAGTTCAACGTCCCACACATGAAGGAATCATTCCAAAACTAAACATGTCATTCTCAATTCACAATAACGTTACGCAAACTTACAATTCTAGATTCAATAAGATTCAAAATAAAGTTGCGTCAAGCATTAATTTAGCACTAAGGTGCTTCACTCTGCGACACAACATCATCCAATTTCTCGCTCTATGCGCGATTCTATCTCGACTCGCGATGCTTCTTCTCGGATTTAAGGGATTTCGCATGAAATCGTAACACACACATATACAGACACGTGAGATCCATATTTTCCGGGCGTCATGGCTGCGTACTTGTGCTGCTGTGACCCACGTGAGATTTCCGTGCGAAATGAGCGCGAAATCGCCGCCGCTCCGCGTCGGCGGACAGTCGCTACTAGAGACACTCGAGTCAGAGTCTAACTGAAAGAATTTGCTATAAAAATAAAATAATAATAATCCTGATGTGACCTGTTCGTTAAAAATAGTCGTCGTATGCGTATACCAACCAGTCAATGACTATAATCTTATATCTTACTCAAAACATTTTTATTATTTATAAAGAAATACTTGTGAAACACTTAATCATCATTTTTAAATGCCGCCGTATAGTAAGGCAAGAAATGTATGACTCTTCGTATTCTCGAAGAATATATCTTTCGATACAAGTTGTATTATATAAACAAAAAATTATTTAAACGAGATAAAGATTAAATTTTTATCAGCGCAACTTGCAAATCAGATCTTTATTCATCAGTTAAAAAAATAATTAATCGTTATTACTGCGAAACTCAAGATTTTTTTCAAAATCGTCAAAATCGTGTAAAAGAATACTCTGGCTCGAGTGCGTCCCTAGTCACTGCTCGACGTTATTAACACGGGGGCACAGGAACTCACCGTTAATGCATATTGATACGAAGTGGTGACTAGTAGATTCTCCGCCGAGCACTCCGCCGCGTCCGGCCCGCGCGCTCCCGCAGGCAGAAGGAGCTCTTGGGAATAGAAAGATAACATCGTGAAAAATGTCGAAGAGGATAACGTAAGCTGCTGGCTGGTGGCTTTGCAAAGTCGAGAGAAAATTTTAAACTATTTTATGCTTCATCATTGTTAACAGTTACATATGTCGTTTGTCGTAATACAACACCGCGATTTTATTCCGATGGCGTGTCGGTCGGTCGGTGTGTACACGTGTAGTCGTCCGTATTGCATTGAGCAGCGAAACATTTTCTACCGCATTAACAGTCTATTGCCGTTTCTCATTATAAGACGGCAGACTTATAAGTGCCGCGGTGTATTACGTTGCTCTACGAATAAATAAGCATTTATGAATACTTATTTCGAATTAATCCGCTGTGGTATGTGTCATGAGGTACCGAGAAGAGTGTCACGTTTCTTGCGTTATTCGCAACGAGTATTTCATTGAAAAACCTTCATCTCGGTAGGAAATTCAATTTCGATGAACTGAAGTTCAAAGAGAAATATCTTATTTTCTTCTTTAACCATCTCGTGTAAATTTTAAAATTCCATATAGTTCTAGATATATAACAAACTTGCGGTCTGAACTTGCGTCTGTTCCAGCATCGTATCTCCTCTTCTTCATTGTTCGCGAATATTAAAAGATTATCTTGAGAAGGAACAAAGGGAGAGGGAGATAGGCTCACATATAGAGTGATTTCTCTAAATGCATGTAAAATATACACCATATGCAACCGTTTCTTGCTGCATGCTCGCTCGGGATAGAGTATCTAAAGGCCGGACACGGCGGCGAACGAAGTGCGCGATTAATGTAAGCGGTGAGATAAATTCGTCGGATGCGTTGGCTGGTCCCAAACAGTCCGACACTTTGTAGCCTTCCGCCAGTGCGGTAGCGCGATATCGAGTCGTTTGCATTCATGCACATACGCCATGAAAGACTCGCAGTAACAGTGCTGGGTCGGGCACTCGCACATGTCCTGAAGACAGGCTTTGAAGTACATATCCGGATTCACCTTCTTGTGACAGGGATCGAAGATTTGTGATTTCAGCCGATTACAAAGTCTGCAATGAAGAAGTCTGCAATAAATCATTGACATCGGGATTCATCATTTCGAGGTAGACATAGAATAAAGTTGGAAAATGCTAGCTGAGAGCAAAGAGAATATTAACAATGATAGATGACGAAATAATGAAAGAACAAAAGATTGCCAACCAAATAATGTTATCATGTAATTATGTAATTTGATTAAGAATTGTTATTTTTATCGCTAATAATAATCAACAATATCAAAACTATTATCTATAAATATTTATATTTATTATTTATTTTATAGCCATTTCTCGCATCGTTGTATAAAATAACAACGATAATATAATAAAAATCTTTCTTTTATCGTTAATTAAGAAAAATGTAATAGTAAGAAGATGTATAAAATTGTGTGAAATACCGTTGATCCTTTCTTCCTCGACAACGTCTCTGCCTTTCGGTATCCTCCTTCCCGAATCTTGGGGATCGGAAACACTTCTTGGCACCCACGGCCCAGGATTGACCAAACTGCTGCGGATCCTGCAGTGGTCGGCCACGTCGCGTGGTGAAATCGTCCTTGATCTGACGATTAAAGTTACCGCAGAGACCGCATAGTCGACCCCTGTACGACGAAGGCGCGGACACTTCGAGAAAGCTGATGCCGTCCCAGAGGACCTTGATCCCGATATGTGTGTGGACGATCACGCTGTCATCTGTACGGTTGATGTCTAGTTGATTACCGAAACGATAAGGAACATTTACCTTCTTCCCGTTTACCTTCACCCTCATTTTCTGACCAAGGTTCACTTTCAAGTCACCAATCTGCAACACGATCGCACGAGGCGCGAATAGAACGAAAGTCCCTCTTTTTCCCATTGCGATTCTCTTCGAGCAGAGCAAGAGAACCTTGCCTCGGGGTAGATTTCATTTCGCAATGCCATCAATCAACCAGTTTGTCAGTCAGAATTTACAATCTTATTTGCATAAGATTAAAAATTGTGCGCTATCTTTTCAAGAGCATTGAAAGTAGTTTTAAAGACTATTCGACTTGAAAAGTCAAGTGTGATAACGCTATGACTTCTATTATAGTTCTTTTAAAAAAAAAAAATTATTATTTTCAATTCAAGAGAGCTTTAATTCGTCTCTTTACAATTATTTATAAAATTTTCACGAAATAATAATGTACTCACCTTAATGGCGATGGTTTTAGTCCACGCCGAGGATTGCGCCTTTTTGGCGTCATTGGTCACGCGTATGCTGAACGTATGATAAAGACAATCGGTGACCAATTGGTATTTGCACGCTCCTTTGAAGCTGTAGAATTTACCGTCAAAGGTACGATAGTGCGGATCTCCAAAAACCGTGCAAACTCCGTCACCTGGAGAAATCAATATAATTTCAACGCTTTAAGTACATATTTTAATTCTGTAGAGTGCGACAGCATATCATAAAACTTACGTTCAACACATCGCGGACAACACTGACCCTCCGGATGCACCAACCTCGAATTTGGCGGGCAAACGAAGTTTATCGGACATTGAGGCATCGCGCAGCGCACTTTGCCCTGTTTGCAGGTGCATGTTTTGCAGGAATCCAGCTTCCAATCTTCGCCATCCTGCCTAGGACAAAAAAGGCCGTTTAAACCACGACGAGACGAGATGTCTAATAAAAATCGCGAAATAAAAATCCGAAATAAAAACATCTCGAGAAACATCTCAACAAAATTAATTTCACACTTAAAAGGAATATTAATATTCATAATAGGATCAAAATATTATTATTCAAACGATATTCTATATAATTCCTAAGCTCTAATTAATTGACAGCTTATTCGGTGACCCCCCTAGTTCAATTTATCTATCTAGAATTTCGTTATCAATGATGTCTGCGCGGCGGATAAGCTCGCACGACGCACGATGAACAAAATGATACTCGCCTCATAAGTTTTTCCACCGTAAGAGCAAGAAGCTCTGCTTTCCTCGATGAGCGGACACTGCGGGCAACAGCGATTCGGTAGGATCATCTGATGCTCCCTGGGGCATTCCAGCACAGGACAGGTCTCCCTTACGCACGAGACCACTGAATTGACGCAGGTGCAGCGCGTGCAATAATCCAGATAGAATCCAGTACCCGATTTGTGGAAAGACTGACCGAGCATCATGCATCCGCCCACGGGCCGGAAGTATTTTCCACTACCTGCGCGACGAAAGAAGCGGTGTTCTTAATCTTTCAATCTTGATACCACGAGTGAGATCGAGCTATAAGAGCGAAACGACTTCTGCGAATCGCTCGAATGTCATACGGCAATCATGCGCGAATTATTTTCTTAGCGGTGATTCGATGTTATCTACTGAAATATACAAATGGGCTACTTGTAGGCAATGATATTTGCAAATTTTATGTTAATTTTATGTAATATTCATTTGCATGTAAAACAAAGCCTGCCTCTCGACGCTTATACTTTTATCCGACGATAGTTATCGTCGATACACTTTGCATTATATTTTAATTCAGAATTTGAAAGTTGCAACGAGATATGCACGGCTAAATGGCAGCGCGTATTCTCGGATGGCTAGATGACAATCGTAATATTACGTGCGGCTGGTTTTTGCGCAATTGCGACATTGGAAAATAATCAGATTCCGCATAAAACCGGTTCGCGCCTCTGGTATTGTAAGAGAGATTGGAATGACCTATAAATTCAAAGTGACTTTAATTGTTTGTGCAATTGCCTAGAAAATGTTTCTTTTGAAAAATGTTTTCGCGAAATGGGACTCCGATCGCCGTTAATCTGATCGCACGGCATCGAAATGCTTACGCAATAAAGGCAATCCCGTGTCTTTATATAACATTACACCCACGTACAATTAGCGAGCTTATACATCGATAATAAAGAAACAATAACATTAGCGCATACCAAAATTAAAAATCAATGAAATCAAGCGAATAATAAAAAGGAATTACTGCCTTTTTCTGCCCTTTTTAAGTAATTCAAAGAATTATTTTATAATTTTGGAGAAAGATAATTTTGTTTTTTTTAACAATGACACAAAATGAATTTCGATTATTGAAAATTATGTAGCTCCTTTCACCTCGACAGCGCGGACAGCACTCCCCAGGTTCATTAATGATCTTTGTGGGAGGACAATTGACCACTGGACAGGCTTGCTTCGCACAGGTGAGACGTCCCTTGTTGCACTTGCAGGTTACGCAGGGATCCTCCGCCGTTGTCACCGACCGGTCCTCCGTTACCTTCTGTCCGTTCATTAAGCATCCTGCAATACGCGACAAAATCGAACATCTCTTAACTTTTCTTTCCCTTTTGTATTCGAACATGAGACCGTTGTGTTTATAACAAAATATCAATAAATAGATACAGACATATCTAGATTGACGAGTCGTATAAACAATAGAGATATTGCGTATATGGTTGGGCAAGATCTCGTGGATGTTTATTTTTTTGAATTTAATTAAATAAATTCAAACAAATTATTTATTAATTTGTTTGTCACACAAATTATTAATTTGTATCTGAAATGTGTATGTCAACGCGGAAGAGAAGTGATAAGGAAATCTGGCCCGCAGTCGTGCGGTTTGTAAGATGCAATATGCCAGTGGCATCGTGCATTAAATTTACGGGGGTTACGATATATCCCAAAGAAAAAGAGAAGGAGAACATTGCAACATACGTTATCGTCCGTTCGTTTTTCGTCGAGTAGAAGCGGCGCTGTAATTTTCAATCATTATCGTTCTCCCCTCGTTATATCGGCGGAACATTCCAGTCTTAATTGCGCGGCGGGATGCATTCAGGGGATCGTGAGAAATATTTGTGAGATTGGCGTGGGTAATTAGCAGCAGCAGCAGCAACATCGGAACGCGCGGAAGGGAAGAAGAAAAAAGTTACGCACCTTCGCATATGGGGCAGCATTGGCCAGGTGGGGCCGGTTTCGGGTGGGAACAGGGCGTGTAACACCGTAGCCTTGATTCGGTGATGACGCCCGCCTTGCAGGTGAATATTTGACAGGGGTCGTTTTCCTCCGTCCATTCCGTGTCCGATGCGTGATAAACGCCGTTCCGCGTGCACCCTGTGATACAGAAAAAACGGATCGAAATCTTCTAAGTACGATATATTGTCTGCATATTAAAAAGATTGAACACAGATTGAACACTTCACATGCTGGAAATTGAAAAATATATCAATTTGTCAAGACGCGATTATTATTTACGTAATTCAAAGATGATATATTCGAATAAATATTTGATTGAGATAATAAATTATTTAAGATAATATGCCTAACTCTCTTTGGTCGATGTGGCAACATTTATCTCTTGTTTTTTAGAGAGAGAGAGGCGGGGGGGGAGGAAGGAGGAAGGGAGGGGGAGGAGAAAATATAAATATGGAGGTAATATTACATCTTTCTTATTCCTTATGTTTTGTAATTTG